GAATTAACAACACTTCTTTACGTTTAAAAACATTCTCAAGAAATAGTCATATGAAGGACAAAGAGGAGGTATGTTGTCAGCATCTGGGAATTTTCAACCCACTAATATAAAGATTTCCTAGATAAAATGTTGGTGGTCTAGGTGCTTAAGCTCCTGGGGACAGAAAAGTTAACTCTGTTACCTTTGAATTCTACATTTCCTGCTCTGTTTAGGGGCTCAGTAACCAAATAAGATGGTGGGAAGAAGGTGGAGAATTAGCAAGATTGATTTCTCATAGATAACTATAACCCAAAGAAACAGGTTAAAATTAAGAGGGGATTGGGAGAGGGAGAGAAAGAAGAAGGAAGGGAGGGAGGGAGGGAGGGAGGGAGGGAGGAAGAACGGAGAATCTAGGACACACTCTGGGAAGTCTTGACTTCAGAATGAGAAGAGGTTTTAGTTCCATTAATATCATAACCCAACACCAATGAGGCCAGACATCACTGGGCAGAGGCAATTCCTCGTCCCCTGCCATGAACTGCAAAAAGAAACTGAGTACATTTTGCTAGTATAGAAGATCATAAGCTATTGCTCCCTGACATCTCTGAGAAAGCAGCATGGACAAAGCATAGTGACAAGAGTTCATGAAACAAAATTTTACAATCTCAGGTTAAAATTATTCCAATTGTGCATCAAAACCAATGCACTACTGAACAAATAGAACAGATGCAGGGACATGAAAATAAGCCCTGGTTCACATGCCAGGAGAGGACTTAAAGGAAGCCCGGAGATGCCTTCTAAGGACCCACAGCAGATGTGAATTTGGGAAATTCAAAATATCAACGTCTCTCTGATAAATTCCTCAGAACTTGTTTAGAGGCCTCCATTCATTCAACTGGTACTTAAGGCAGGCCTACAGTGTGTCAAGCAATATATTAGATGCTTAGAGACACAGCAACAAAATAAGACCAGGATCCTTGCTCACAGCTGAGCAGAAGAAAACACAGTGGCATTTACTCACCACAATGCAGTGTAATGGGCACACTATGGTTAAAGGAAAGGATCAGGGTGATGGAAATGAAGAGGGGGCAGATGGAAGAGCAAAGGCCAGAAGATGGAACGGGTGATCCTGTAACACTAAGGGAGCTGCAAGGAGTTAAAGCCTGTTAAACTTTTATTTTGGAACATCTCTGAGTAAATCATGCATATTTCCCTAGCAAGCACAGGTCACACCACTCCCTAATCTCTTACATTGGGTCAGATTAACACATTTATGTTATCTGACTAGCCTCTGTGCAAATGATTCCTGAGTTAGGTCATGACCAAGAGACATGCTACCTACCTCTACAGGTCAATTGCAAACGTGTGAGGGTGTTTTTCTTTGTCACAATACTGCAGGTGCTACTGGAAGTTGTGACCCAGGACTAAGGATGCTCCATGTCCTGCAAAGCTTGGGGAAGTTGCTCACAAGGAAGACTTGCCTGTCCCAAAGTGCCCATAGCACCTCTTTAGAAACTCTCAGCTAGATCGTGTCATGCTACACCATTTGCACTGTAATCTTAATATTTACTGTCTGATTTATAATGCTGGCTCAACATGAATTATTAACCATTCTATATAGCTAATAACAGGAGAACACATACACAAAGAAAATAATTCCACAGAGCTTTATGTGTAATTGATGCTGAGAAAGAGAGAACGCATTTTACTACATTTGCAACGAGGGCAATGTTTTCTTCCCTGAAAGAGTAGCAGTACCTGGTTTCATAATGAAGAGAGTCTTTGTAAACAAGATGTTCTCTTCCCACTACGATTTCATACCAGCAGCAGCATGGACAAAGCATAGTGACAAGAGTTCATGAAACAAAATTTTACAATCTCAGGTTAAAATTATTCCAATTGTGCATCAAAACCAATGCACTACTGAACAAATAGAACAGATGCAGGGACATGAAAATAAGCCCTGGTTCACATGCCAGGAGAGGACTTAAAGGAAGCCCGGAGATGCCTTCTAAGGACCCACAGCAGATGTGAATTTGGGAAATTCAAAATATCAACGTCTCTCTGATAAATTCCTCAGAACTTGTTTAGAGGCCTCCATTCATTCAACTGGTACTTAAGGCAGGCCTACAGTGTGTCAAGCAATATATTAGATGCTTAGAGACACAGCAACAAAATAAGACCAGGATCCTTGCTCACAGCTGAGCAGAAGAAAACACAGTGGCATTTACTCACCACAATGCAGTGTAATGGGCACACTATGGTTAAAGGAAAGGATCAGGGTGATGGAAATGAAGAGGGGGCAGATGGAAGAGCAAAGGCCAGAAGATGGAACGGGTGATCCTGTAACACTAAGGGAGCTGCAAGGAGTTAAAGCCTGTTAAACTTTTATTTTGGAACATCTCTGAGTAAATCATGCATATTTCCCTAGCAAGCACAGGTCACACCACTCCCTAATCTCTTACATTGGGTCAGATTAACACATTTATGTTATCTGACTAGCCTCTGTGCAAATGATTCCTGAGTTAGGTCATGACCAAGAGACATGCTACCTACCTCTACAGGTCAATTGCAAACGTGTGAGGGTGTTTTTCTTTGTCACAATACTGCAGGTGCTACTGGAAGTTGTGACCCAGGACTAAGGATGCTCCATGTCCTGCAAAGCTTGGGGAAGTTGCTCACAAGGAAGACTTGCCTGTCCCAAAGTGCCCATAGCACCTCTTTAGAAACTCTCAGCTAGATCGTGTCATGCTACACCATTTGCACTGTAATCTTAATATTTACTGTCTGATTTATAATGCTGGCTCAACATGAATTATTAACCATTCTATATTGCTAATAACAGGAGAACACATACACAAAGAAAATAATTCCACAGAGCTTTATGTGTAATTGATGCTGAGAAAGAGAGAACGCATTTTACTACATTTGCAACGAGGGCAATGTTTTCTTCCCTGAAAGAGTAGCAGTACCTGGTTTCATAATGAAGAGAGTCTTTGTAAACAAGATGTTCTCTTCCCACTACGATTTCATACCAGCACCTCATTAGAGAAACCAGAGGTAGAGCTATCCAAAACCGCCTTTAAGGGGGTAAGCTTTTACGTGTGAAACGTCTGGCATCGCCCTCCTTTTGATGGTAGTAAATGCTGTATTGCGGACGAGGGGCTACTTCTCGCACACGGAACCAGAATGATGTAATGGAAGTGTTTCTGGTTGACCACGCAGGGCAGAGACCACAATAGGGATGGCTCAGAGCCCCTCACAATGACACTCACTATTTCTCTGATCTCTCTCCTGATGTGAAACCCAAGAAAAGAAAGTAAAATTGTAATGCTCTTGGAAGCTTCCAAGAATGTGTAGAAAAGGACAAATTGGATGATGGGCAGAGTGGCGAGAAATGAAGTCAGGGTGATGAGCGAGGCCAAATCAAGTGGGGGTTTATAACAATATAGAATGCCTCTGTGTTTTGTAAGTAACTGAAAAGTTTGCCCATCCACATGGACTTTGGCAGGCTATTGTCCCCACGAAGGCAATCCAGTACAGCCTTGGTTGACATGCATGAAGATGGACAATAATCCTGTGGTCAAACCATTATTTCAGGTTTTCAGCAGTCAAATAATTGGGAAAATGAGACAGAGATGAGTCTTCACATATCTGTAATTATTAAAGAGCTGCAAAGGGGCATTCTTAAGTTGCAAGGGTGGAGGGTTCCTATTAAAAGCATCCCCTCACCCCCTTACTGCCAATCTTTTCGGAAACTGAGCCCACTCTTGATGTCCCCACTCTATTATTCCCATTCTTATCAGTCTGGCTTCTGTTGCTGGAGGGATTCTCATACCACATTCAGTAGGGAATCACCCCCCAGCCAACAACTTCTTCCATGCTCACTGTCCCTGCTGCCTGTTCTCATTATTTATGCAGTATTTATTGAGATACCACTAGATGCAATCATTATTCTAGACCCAGATGAAAACAGCAGTGAACAAGAGAAGCATGGAACATATGGTCTAGTGGGGTGGAGGTGAGATAGATAGTAACTAAACAAAACAAAAAATGAAGAGTTTATCAACTGGCAAACAATGCTACAGAAAACATCAAATAGGGCACTAGGCTAGACAGTGACAAAGGAGGGGCTATGAAAGACAAAGGAGCTTTTGAGTACTGGGCCAGACCACCAGTGTTCATACCCTGGCTGTGCCACTCACTAGTTGTGGGACCTGAGGGGAGTTATCACTTTCTTGTGCCCCAATTTCATTGCCTATAAAATGGAATTAATAATAATACATGCCTCTCAGAGTGGTTTTGAGGGTTAAATGAGTTAATAAGTACTTTCTATAAGTGCATAGAATAGTGCCTGGCATTAAGAGTTTAACTGCTGGTCCACCACTTCTATTACTATTCTCATTAATACTTACACTAGAGGCCTGATGCATGAAATTCATGCAAGGGGCTTGGCCCTCACAGCCCCTCACAGCCCCAGCCGGCCCTCGCAGCACTGGCTTCGTCCGGAAGGTCGTTCAGCTGTCTGGTCTAATTAGCATATTATACTTTTATTATTATAGATTGGGTGGTGAAGAGAGACCTGTCTAAGGAGGGGGCATTTGAGCTGAAATCTAAATGGAAAGCAGCAAAGGAAAGATATTGGGGCGGGGCGGGGGACACGGGGGTGCGATTATTCCAGGCTAAAGGAAAGCCAAGATGGGAAAGAGCTTGAGAGGTTCCCAGGAATAGAAGAAAGAGCAGTGTGACAGGGTCCTGGATGATGGGCAGAGTGGCGAGAAATGAAGTCAGGGTGATGAGCGAGGCCAAATCAAGTGGGGGTTTATAACAATATAGAATGCCTCTGTGTTTTGTAAGTAACTGAAAAGTTTGCCCATCCACATGGACTTTGGCAGGCTATTGTCCCCACGAAGGCAATCCAAGTAATAACATAATCACCAGCATTTGTGTACAGTTTTGCTTCTTACTGGCGATCATAAAACATGAGATAGGTGGTCAAGGGACTTTGATGTAGTCCTTACTGGTTAACTGACAGAAGACAAATGAGTTAATTTCTCTACATTTATTTCTCAATCTGCAAAATAAAATGGATTGAATTAGAGGTCCTTTCCAATCTGTGATTTTATATTCCCATTCTTGCATTTCTACTGTATAATGAAAACAGATCTAGGTCAGTAGACTACAACATACTTTACATAAAGCTATATATCCTTTTTCTACTTTCCCTATTAATGGGTCTGTTAATTAGAAAATAGTAATCTTCTGGAGCTTTATGTAAAAGTAAAAACCACCACCAAAATCTGCCTTCTCTAAGACTCTGATTTTGTAAGAAAATCTTACCTTCTGGTAAATACAAGATCTGACTGGAAGATTTTTCACTCCTTCCTATGTGCAATTAACAGCAAACACCTCGTCATAAACATTTTTGAAAGGTCAGAGATGGCAACAATTTGCTAGAGATAAATAATCAAATAAAACACTGCCCTGGTAATTCCTGGGCTTCAAAAAACTGCATAAATCTGATCAATAATGAGACATACAAAAGGGATTGTGGGATAAAGGGCGGGTCCAATTTGAGGTATTAAAAACTTGCCTAAGTCATTTTTCCCCAAATACATCTTGTGCTGCAGCAGATACTGAAGCTGTTAATGGTAAATTCATACTTACAATGTTAGAAAAATAAGATTCTGATTATGAAACAAAAGATTGTTTTAGGTTGAAGAAGCAAATAATAGTAAGAATAAGGACTTTTGCAAAAACCAAGGTAAGAACATTTTACCTCTGTAATAAATCAACTATTGAGCTCAAATTCTAAATGTTATTTTCAATTGTATTTGCTGACTTTTACCCTTATTATAGCACAAACCACAAGAGTTCGAAGCACGCTAATTTATTCCTAAAATGTATATGTATATATTTTAATTGTGCCTAAGTAATAGCATCTTTTATTTATATGTATCTATTGCTGTTGTCTTAAGAGTAAATTTAACTTTTTATACATTGAAGAGATAAGTTTCCTTTAAAAATTTTTCATAGTAAATTTTAATTTTTTAAATCAAAGCTTTCATTTCCAGTTCTTAGGGAAGATTTTTATATTCCTAGCAAAAGTATTTTATCACTTAAAATGCATTACACATTGATTATCTATTGCCTGCTCATATTAAGAAGCCTCTATTGTCACTTAATGTTTACTAAACAATCAATAAAATCTAACTGAAACCAGAATAAACTCAAACAAATAAGTGGGCTGAAATTCAAAGAAAATTGAGACCATATCCACTTTAGAAGGGCAGCCTTTGTGAGAACTCATTTCTGGCTAAAAGAGCTAATTTATCTTTTTTAATGCCATCAAATTTAATAATGGATGACATGTCTTATAGCTTCAGTGATGCAGCAACTTGTCGATAACACAGAGAATTTAGAAACCAATTCATCAATTCATGATTTTTTCATAGGACCGTGGATGGTTAATTTTAAGTCATTAGACTCTCCGATAATAAAACCCTAGAAAGAGAGGGTTAGTTAATAAAGAATTGGGTAGCTGTCCCCTATCTCTTCGATGAAAACTCAGAGCTCCTCTTCTGCCTCAATAACAGGTGGCACTTTTCACTTTGAACACTTTTGGGGCAGGTTGGGGATAAGTTGTGTGGAGTGGGAAAAAGTTAAGTAGGAAAAAAAGAGAGAAGGGTCTGTATACAAGTATATATAATTATATGTGTGAGTTATTTATCCTTATAATAAATTTACATTTTTATTTATTGTATACATTTTACATGTTTATTTACATATAAATATATATTTTGTGATATGTATGTACACTTAACAAATACCCCTTTTACAGACACCCACAAGGTGTCCAATATGTTCTGGGCAAAACAAAAAGAATACAACTCTCCCTGACTTCTTTATTCAGAGCGGGGGTAGGATGGTTCAGAGATTTCCCCATGTCTCAGTTTTGCACTTATTGATTGGTAAAGAAAATCAGAGGCTCCAGGACATTAAGAGACCTTTCCAAGGTCACACAGTCTGCTAGAGACAGAGTCAGCCATCCTCCGGACTCCCACACCCAGCTATCAGTCCACTCCACCAAGCTTCTCTCATCTCCTCTGGCCAAGAACCTATCTTCTGACACTCACAATGGAGAAATTAATGAGCCTGCAAGTTAAAGATTCATTTTAAACAAATTGGTTCATTATTATTTAATTGAGGAGGCTTCAGAGCAATAAAAACCTTGCTTACCAAAACTAGATAAGCACCTCATGAAACATTGAGCTGAAGAAATGCAAAAACTGTCACAAGTCAATATGTGCTGCCTTTCTGTTTGATAAATGCCACCCAATAGCCTCAGAAGTATCAGAAACTAATGGCATCCCGGCACTCTGTAGGCATACATTAATGGGATCAGGAGCATAAAATATAAACAATAATGTATATATTGATTATTCCGGACACTTGAAGCCCAACAAACATTTGAAAGGTCAGTCACTCTGCTTGCATAAAATTACAGTTAAGTCATTGCTCGAAGCTGGAAAGTTGGCTCTCCATGTAAATTTAGCTCGTGACCTATAACCTTAATCATGTCATACCTCTGTTATCTCCCTTAAGTTGTCTGGCATGAAAAATATACTGTAAATGCTTAACCCCATAAAGTATATACAAATAAATAACCAAATACCACACCTTACCGGAAAGGATATTGTCTGGGTGAAATCTAGTCTATAGGCTGAATAAACATCATGAAATAGCATTTTACTCTGACAAAACATATTCAAAGGTTTCTGTAAGTCAATTACGACATGAGCTTACAAATTAAAATGTATGCTTTGAGGATGTTTCAAAAATATACGAGTTTAGGAAATACAATGTCAGAATTATTTTTACTTTTACCTAAAAACTAAAATCTGGTTTGACCAGGCCACACAAGTTTAGGCAATTTTTTCTACAATGAAAGATTTACTCCTTTTCAGAGCTCCTTTAAAACATCTTAAAAGAGGTTGTGTGGGTTCCATGGAGAGGAGCCTTTTGCTGGCGTTTTCACACCCAAAGGTGGGCTTCTATCTAGCATGCTCACCGGTGCCCCTACATCTGGACAAACGGAATAGTGGGAGACAGTTCACAACCCCACAACCCCAGTTCCTTTCCTGAAGTGATAGGTCCCTCTGTAGAGTCAATATTGCCTTGCCAACTTTTAAAAAGGGCAAGAGGGACTTGAGAGGTTGAAAGAAAGACTTGCAATGTATGTCCTTTTATGAGAACAGGCAAGGGTTGGAAGTATTCCACCTCTCCTTTGACAAGGGCTCCAATTATCCTCAGCTTGGAGAGTTCCCCATTTGCTGCTAAGGATCATTGTCAGGGTGAGAACCAAGCTTTCAGAAAGGTCTCCCACTCAGTAGGAGGGTGAGGGGAACTGAAGCAGGACACTGCCGTCTGCAAGAGGCCTGGCTCTATCCGTAGAAGAGTGAACATATACCTGCCTTTAGCTGACAGTTTTAACCCTAAGTATATGTAACTGTGCCCTTTAAGTAAGGTGACCAGATTTCTTCTTTCTGAATTTTACATTTTATGAATCTTTCACACTGATTCATCCCAAATTCTACGACAGCTAAAACCAGCCATTTTGAAAATCAGATTTCCTTACTCATGATTCACACCAGTTTTAAAAACACTTTTAAAATTCATATTACATTCATTAGCAATGGATAAGCATTGCAAAATCATATATTTGCAATTTACATTAAAATATAATAATCCTAATAATACAGCAGAATTAAAAACTCCAACAGGAAGTAATGGTGATTTACTTGGGAGCCAAATGACCCGATTTTAACATTGAAGACATCATTTTATAGTTTACTAATAAAGTATTATCTATAAAAAAGGTTATTCTATTTTAAAATATACATAAAACCTTAAATGAACCAATGAAATTAATAGATACCAACTTAACCAACATTCAATTATTATACTGGTCGAAATGGGAGAGCATTTAAAAGACCTTTTATTTCCTCTTAAAGCAGATTTACTGTGAATAAAGTTCCTAAATGTACATTATATTCCATTAAAGTAAATAAGCTTACACTATGTTTTTCCTGCTATGTAGATTTTAAAAGGCTCCAAAGTCCTGCGTATCTCTAACATCTTTTATCATAATCAAAACTCAATTAGGTCATTCATATTAATATTTTGAGGAAAGGAAATTTGGGATTTTCATTTTTGATAAATGTTATATTCTGAAATTCAGGCCATAACATCCTTTTGTTCTAAAGCCATTAGAATGGTAAAGAAAGGCAGCAGCTTTTAATTGCAAACACTATTTTTAGTATATTAAAATGTATCTTTACTGAGCAAACTTTTAATCACAAAGATCTGACTAAGCATACCCTAAAAAGTAGTTATCTGTATTTCAAAAAACTATTTTCTGCACTGTAAATTTTAAACCAAGACTTTGATGATCAATGAAGAAAAACTTTTAATGTGAGATACACACAAAAAAATCCCCATTGCTTATAATACATTAAAAAACTGTTCACATATTTGAAAACGCAGGCTTATAAGGACATGTAAGAACAGAGCCCTTTGAACTATCAAGTTGAAATAACTGCAGAATTCTACCAAGGACATCTGCAGAACAAAAATAAATAATAAAGGTACATGTATTACATTCTCCCTTTAAATGTTTCCTCAAAAGCTATGCTAATTTTTTAAAACTCAGGTCTAATGGACAGACTATTTTTTCTCTACTCCCAACCTAGGAATATTTCTTTCTTATTGACAACGTATCACAGGACCCAATGGCTGTGTACCTCCGACTACTGATCATGACATTTCAGTTTTAGAAAAATGAAACGAGGCTATCGATGCCACCTGAGTTTGAAAGGACCATTGTCTGCCACAGCACTCCTGTCCTCCAAAGATGGGCTTCTATCTAGCATGCTCACTGGTGCCCCTACATCTGGACAAACGGAATAGTGGGAGACAGTTCACAACCCCACAGCCCCAGTTTCTTTCCTGAAGTGATAGGTCCCTCTGTAGAGTCAATATTGCCTTGCCAACTTTTAAAAAGGGCAAGAGGGACT